CCTCTCTAGAGCCCGAAGCACGCGCGGAGATAGACGCGCCAGGCCGCGGCGGGCGCCCCGCGCGCGGGGTCCGGCGCCGCGGGGGCCCCGCGGGGGAGCGCCGCGGCGAGCTCGGCCATGCCGTGGGCGTCCTCGGGGTAGCGGCGCGGGTCCGGCGCGGGCGCGCCCTTGGCCCGGCGCCGCGCGGCGACGGCCGCCGCGCGCGCGACCGCCGCCGCCGCGCGCGCGTCGCCGCGCGCCGCGAGGCTCTCCGGCAGCCGCGACCAGGACGCGACCGCGTCGGGCGCGCAGCGCACGTGCGCGGCCCCGAGGAGCGGGCGCGGGCCGCGGGCCGCGTCCGCGCCGAGCCGGACCAAACCGCCGAGCTCGGAGCCGCACTCGGCGCACCGGAGCGCCCGGCCTCCCGCCGCCGCGCCCCGGGGCGCCGCGACGAGCGCGGGCAGCCGCTCGAGGCGGCGCTCCGCGCGGATCGCGACGTGCGACGCCGGGCCGACGCGGAGCAGCTCGCAGTCCCCGCCGTCGACGATGGCGAGGCCGCAATTGCCGCAGGAAATAGCGTCGACGGTGTGGATGGGGAAGGATTGCGTCTTTGCGTGCGTCGCCGCCGTCGCGACGTTCGAGTCGCCCAGCGGATGCTTCGCGTAGGACTCGAGGAGGGACGAGAAGGGCTCGGCGGGCGCGGACCGAGACATGCCGTCGTTCTCGAGTCGTTGGGCAGCCTTCAGTGGGAAGTCTGAAGGTTTGCACCTGAAAGCCCCTACTCACACAGTGCGGCGGCGATGCAGCGGAGCTAGATGCCAGCCCGGCTGCTCGTGTTCAGCCGCGGCTAGGCTTGGAGTCCCAGTGCCGCGAGGCCTGGTGCCGCAAACCCCCCTGGGGGAGGCCCTCTAGCTGTTAACCTCTCCTAGCCTAGCAGCTGAGGCGTAGGGGCTCGGCCGAAACTTTGGCTCGACGGCGGGGACGGCGGGAGTGGAGGTTTCGTCGCGCGCTTCGCTGCCGCGGTTCACGGCGCCGGAACGTCCACATCGTCATGGACGCGAAGCGCGCGGCCGACGCGCGCCATTGCGACCGCATCCTGGCGGCGCCGAGCTTCTACGACGTGCTCGAGGTCTCGCGGTCGGCCGACGAGGCGCACGTGCGCAAGTGCTACCTGAAGGTGAGCCTGCGGGTCCACCCCGACCGCAACGCGGACCCGCGCGCCAAGGCCGCGTTCCAGCGAGTCGCCGAGGCCTACGAGACGCTCGCCGGCCCGGGCCGGCGCGCGTACGACGCGGCCCGGCGGCCGGCGGGCGTCCGGGGGCGGGCCGCGGCCGCGCCCGGGGCCGCGGCCGCGCCCGGGGCCGGGGCCCCGCCGGGACGGGGGGCCTTCGACATGGACGCCGCGATGCGGATCTTCGCGGCGGCCGCGGCGGCCGCGGAGGCCGCGGCCGCGGAGTCCGCGGGCGTCCCCGAGTACGTGCGCCTCGCGACGGCGCTCCTCGACGTGGCGCCCGACGCCGAGGGCGCGGCGCTCCTCACCGGGTTCGTCGGCGGCGCCGTCGCCGTCGCGAACCTGCTCCCCGCCTCCTGGAGGCAAAAGGCCGCGGCGTCCGTCGCGCCCGAGCGCGCGGCGACGACCGTCGCCGCCGTCGGCGCCGCGGCGCTCTTCGGCCTCACGCTCCTCAACGCCGCGGTGGCGACGCGGCCGCCGCCCGCCGGCGACAAGCGACAGACGGACCTGTAAGGGTACCACTGGAGAAGCGAGAGACGGACCTGTAAGGGGACCACTGGACATCGCGAGAAGAAACCCACGCCGCGCCGGCGCCAGGCCTGGGCTGGTGGGCGGAGGGCGTCGCGGCGCCAAAGCGCGACCTCGGAGGCGCGGAGTGAAGCCAGAGACAGCCTAGGTTCCCGTGGACGCCGGACGTCGACGAGCCTTCGACGTCCCCAGCCCCTGGAGGGGATCAGGGGCCCTGGCGTGCGGCCAGCTGGGTGAAAAATCGCTTTGCCACAAAAAAAACTCCAGAGATGGCCAGCCGCGCGCGCGGCGGCGCCGCGCGCGCGTTCGGCGCCGCGCAGGCGGCCCCGACTCGGCGCAAGCGCTTCTACGATCGCGTCGCCGTGGCGCAGGCGCCCGCGGGCTGGTGCGTGACGCTGGACGGCCGCCGCGTGCCGACGCCGGCGGGCCGGCCCCTCGCCGTGCCGTCGCTCCGGCTCGCGCTCGCGCTCGCGGCGGAGTGGGACGCGCAGGCGACGCACGTCGAGCCGGCGACGATGCCCCTCGCGTCGCTCGCGGCGACGGCCGTCGACCAGGTGGCCCGCGGCCGCGCGGCCGTCGTCGCGGGGCTCCTCCGCTACGCCGCGACGGACGCGTGCCGCTTCTTCGCCGACGGCGCGGCGCAGCCCGAGGTGCGCGCGGCGCAGGAGGCGCGCCTCGCGCCCGTGGCCGCGTGGCTCGCGGCCGAGGTCGGCGCGGACCTGCCGCGCGCGGCGCCGGGCGGCCTCCGCGCGCCGCCCGTCGACGCCGCGAGCGCCGCCGCGCTCGAGGCCGCGTGCGACGCCCTCGACGACTGGTCGCTCGCGGCGCTCCAGTGCGCCGTCTTCGAGTGCAAGAGCCTCGCGCTCGGCCTCGCGCTCCTCGCGGGCCGCCTCGACCCGCGCGGAAACTCGAACCTTCGACCCGACTTCGACGCGCGCGCGTGCGACTGTTTCGACGCACTTTGGGGCTGTGCTCCGAGAGCTCGACGGGAGCAATCGATTCGTCCAAAACTCGGCCGAATCGACGTCGATTCGACCGAGCGAGAGAATTTCAAAGTTTGGTCGGGGCGTCCCGAACCGGCGGTCGATTCCCGCGCAGGCCTCGACGCGCGCGGCGCCGAGGCCGCGGCGCGCGTCGAGGAGACGGCGAACATCGACCGCTGGGGCCTCGTCGAGGGCGCCCACGACTACGACCTCGCGCGCATCCAGGTCCAGCTCGCGTCCGCGAGTTTCTTCGCCGACGCCGCGCGAGCGCCCTAGCGCCGGGGCGACGCGACTTCTAGGCGAGATCCTAGCGTCCCACCGGCGCGGCGCGCGCGGCGCCTCCTCGCGGGGGACCCGGGCGGCCGCCGCGCCGCCCCGCGGCCCTAGGCCGCGCGCGTCGCGAGGTCCTCGAGGGACGCCTGGGCCGTCTCGGGCACGGCGGCGCGCACGAAGACCCAGGTGACGCCGCAGACGGCCGCGAACGCGGCGAACGCCGCGCGCGGGCCCCGGCGCGCGACGACGACGGGGAAGTAGAAGGACACGGCCGCGTGCGAGGCGAACTGCGCCGCCTGCGGCGCGCGCGGCGGGGCCTCGCGCGGCGTCGCGACCTCCCCCCCCCGCCGCCGCCGCCGCCGGGCGCCGCGCCGCGCGAGGCTCGCGGTCATCGCCGCGGATCGCGCGTGCCTGCGCGGGAAACCGACGTACGCGACGCGACCGCGACGCGCGCGCGTCCGAACGACGTCGACGCGACCGTTCCGCCGTCCGTCGAGAGGTCGACGAGGGCCGTCGACGCGTCCACCATCCGGCCGGATCGACTTCGACGCGACCGAGCTCGAGGGGCCCGACGTTCGGTCGGGACCGCCCGGCGCGGCGGCCGCGTCACGCGCGGGCGCGCGCGTCGGGAACCTGGGCAGGACAAGAGTGCGAAATTCCCAACTTCAAAGGCTCCTCTCTCGGCCATGTTCCACTCGTTTCGGCTGATTTTTGGACGAGCGATCATCTCTCGGAACGGTCTCGACGCGTGGATGCTTTTCCCAGAACGCGCGCGCGTGGAACACTCACGTTGAAGCGACGTTGAATCACCCTCGTCCCGCCCCGTCGGGAACGACTCCGCGGTGTAGATGTTCGGGATGGGCCCGAGGCTCAGGCCGAAGAAGACGCCGTAGAGCGAGATCGCCGCGAGGCTCGCGGCGGCCGCGCCGGGCCCGCGCGCTCCTGTGCCCGAATTAAAATCTTCAACTCGACTTCGACGCGAGCGCGCGCGACGGTTTCGACGACGTCTCTTCGGCCGCGCTTCGAGAAGTCGACGAGAGCGATCGATTCGTCCCAAAATCGGCCGAATCGACTTCCATGTGACCGAGCTCGAGAATTCTCAAGTTTGGTCGGGACCGCCCGAACCGGCGGTCGCGTTCGGCGCGGGCGCGCGCCCAGCGCCGCCGCGAGACCCGCGAGGCACCTGCGCGGCGCGCGCGCCGTCCCCCCCCCCCCGGCCGCCGGCGTCCCGCGCCGGCGCGCCGCAGGCCCATGGCCGGCACGAACGTCGAGAGGAGGCGCCGCCGGCCCCAGGTGTCCATGAGAGCCATCGTCACGAACAGCGCCTGCGGGGCTCGACGCTCCGACGCGCCGGCGGCGCGCGGCGCCGGGGCCGCGCGGGGATCTTCGGCGCGTAGGCGACGGCCGCCGCGAGGATCGCGGCCTGCGCGGACATCGACCGCCGCTTCGGGGGGTCCCCGCCAGACTCGGGACCGCTCGAGCTCGGCCGCGTCGACGTCGACGCGGCCGATCGTACGGACGAATCGATGGCTCGCGTCGAGCGCTCGACGCACGGCGGAAGCGCTCGCGTCGGACCCGTCGCATGCGCGCCCGTCGAAGCCGGGTGAAGCCGCAGTCCCGCGC